AGCGGCTCAAGATTACGGTGAGACGATATAAGACCAGCACAAACACACTCTCTGGTATCGACTCAGGATGTTTCTAACCTCGGTGTTCTGCTCCTGATTAGAAGACGCGTTACCCAACATGGAGACGCCGCGCAGGCCGGCTAATGGACGAAAAGTCCTGGACATCGAGGTGTACTCCAGCCGCTCAAAGGTCTACGTGGCAGTGGATGGCACGACCGTAAGTTTACACTCATCCAATTATTCTGCAATTATTTTAAAGATCAGAATTCCTATACACCTGTGGAAAATGCTCACACACTCTCTCCTGTGATCTTGTAGTTCTTCTGTGATCTTGTAGTTCTCCTGTTATCTTGTAGTTCTCTTGTGATCTTGTAGTTCTCTTGTGATCTTGTAGTTCTCCTGTTATCTTGTAGTTCTTCTGTGATCTTGTAGTTCTTCTGTGATCTTGTAGTTCTCCTGTTATCTTGTAGTTCTTCTGTGATCTTGTAGTTCCTCTGTGATCTTGTAGTTCTCCTGTTATCTTGTAGTTCTCCTGTTATCTTGTAGTTCTCTTGTGATCTTGTAGTTCTCCTGATCTTGTAGTTCTCCTGTTATCTTGTAGTTCTCCTGTGATCTTGTAGTTCCTCTGTGATCTTGTAGTTCTCCTGTGATCTTGTAGTTCTCCTGTTATCTTGTAGTTCCTCTGTGATCTTGTAGTTCTCCTGTTATCTTGTAGTTCTCTTGTGATCTTGTAGTTCTCCTGTGATCTTGTAGTTCCTCTGTGATCTTGTAGTTCTCCTGTTATCTTGTAGTTCTCTTGTGATCTTGTAGTTCTCCTGATCTTGTAGTTCTCCTGTTATCTTGTAGTTCTCCTGTGATCTTGTAGTTCCTCTGTGATCTTGTAGTTCTCCTGTGATCTTGTAGTTCTCCTGTTATCTTGTAGTTCCTCTGTGATCTTGTAGTTCTCCTGTTATCTTGTAGTTCTCTTGTGATCTTGTAGTTCCTCTGTGATCTTGTAGTTCTCCTGTTATCTTGTAGTTCTCGTGTTATCTCCACGATCAGAGGACCTCAGAGATCTGCAGCGAGTTTATTTAAATAACAGGAAAACAAACATTTGAACGACTTGTTCATGAGAAGTCAAACCTTCACAGCTACAACAACCGAATGAAACAAAACAGAAATATGTCAAATGGTTAAATAATTCACCATGTGCGTCCTGTGGGGTCATTGGAGGATCTTTAAGTGGATCTTAATCTACATGTACGTTTGACCTGCAGGTGTTGGAGGATGACATGCGGGAGCAGGGCCGAGGCATCCACGTGATCGTTCTCAACCAGGCGACTGTAAGAATCTCCTGTTTATTAAACTCTTCCTTTAAATATCAAACTGCATCAAAGCTGAAGTCGCCTTCACCTGTCCCGCTCTGTTGACCTCTGTTGACCTCTGTCTCAGGGTCACGTCATGGCCAAGAGGATCTTTGACACGTACTCTCCACATGAGGATGAAGCCATGATCCTCTTCCTCAACATGGTGACCCGGGGCCGAGTCCTCATCTTCACCATCAAGGTGACACTCTAATAAAAAGTGTGTGTGTGTGTGTGTGTGACAGATAGATAGATAGATAGATAGATAGATAGATAGATAGATAGATAGATAGATGAAATGTTGTGTTTTGTGGTGCAGGACGAGGGGACGTTTCACCTGAAGGACGCTGCAAAGAACCTGCTGAAGACTCTGGGCAGCCAGGTGTCCCTCAACCTGAGCTGGAGGGACATGTGGACCCTAGTGGTGAAGAAAGGAGGTACAGGAGAAAAACTCTCAGTACTCGCTTTTTGGCAGTTGGCTTTCTTTGTGAGGTTTATCGACACAGAGTGTGTGTTTGTGTTTCCAGGTCAGGTCTACGGAGAGAAGCATGCAAAGTCCCCCGCTCTGTCCACGTGGGGAGACCCGGTCCTGCTGAAGACCGAGGTGCAGCTCACCGCCTCCGAAGGTAAAAAACTGCACGAGCTGGAAAAAGTTTAAAACAAGTCTCAGCGATCCTTTGAAGCTGCGTTGTGGTATAGTCATGGAAAATCCAGATTTTAAGGACCGGCTGACTTCCTGCTTCTCTCTGGGTCCGAGATACGACTCGGAGCCATGTGATGACAGCGCTCACTGGAGCCATGTGATGACAGCGCTCACTGGAGCCATGTGATGACAGCGCTCACTGGACGCCCGTCATGGTGCAGGGTCTGCCCGCTACATTACCAGCTCCTCTGAAAAAGGCATTTCCAAGAAGTTCATTTTTTAGTTTTTCCCCACCCTCGCAGCCTTCAGGAGAGCCATGTCACCGTCAGTTGCGTCTTTTTTCGTCGACCTCATTGTGAGGAGGGGGCTCAGGGGGCGGGCTCAGGGGGCGGGCTCAGGGGGCGGGCTCAGCCACGTCCTCATAGAAGGATGAACGAGCCTCTGTGTTGTCTAGTCGTTTTGAAACGGCCACCAATCTCTCCTCAATCGCTGACGTTGATCGCTTGATTTCAGCCGGTGTTATATTCTGGTTTTCATCCATCTGCCTCGGTAACCGGTTCATGTCGATTTATTTCAGCAGCGAGTGTGTCAGCCATCTTTGTTGTGCATCTCATCAACATGTCTAAAACTAAAAGTGAATGTTGTCGTCCTCTGCGCAGAGGCCGAGTGTCACTGGGCTGACACCGAGCTGAACAGGAGGAGGAAGCTCTTCTGCAGTAAAGTGGAAGGATACGGCAGCATCTGCAGCTGCAAGGACCCGGCGCCCATCGAGTTCAACCCGGACCCGGTAAGAACCTTTTTACCTCAGACACTTTCTCACTGTTTGTGAAATCGAGACGCTAAACAGGAGAAGGACAGAGGCTGCAGAGAAAGGCCTAGTCCACAATTTTATTTGACATGCAGCTTTGTATTTGTGAGCAGACATGTTGTTTATTTTTTTGTAAATTCTTCTCTTTCAGTCACCATGACCTCCACACACCTCGTGCATTTTCTGTTTTAAAGTTATTTGCATGTAGAGCTTGTTAAAGTCTGTTTGCACGGCTGCAGAAGTGTTTCACTCAGAATAAAGTGAACTGAGGAGCTCGTCTCATTTCACAAAATGAGGCTCAGCCAGGTTCTTTTTTATTTTTTTTCCAGCTGATCAACAACAACGTCTTCAGTGTCCCCGTCGCCGTGATCGCAGGAAACAGACCCAACTATCTGTACCGGTAAGATGAAACCTCAGAGCTCCTTGACACAGAGTCCAGAGCATGTATTAAACATCACAGACTACACTAAGCTGCAGGATGGAGAAAGAAAGGCTGCCGCTCTCTCAACATTTGTTAATCAAAGTTAATCTTTATTTTGTGTTGTGTTAAATCACTGAATCACAGAAATATTCTCCTCCTTCATCTCCTGAGCCCGATATGAAGTTGTGACTGTTTGTCATCTTTTCTTCAGGATGCTGAGGTCGCTCCTGTCAGCGCACGGCGTCAACCCGCAGATGGTCACGGTCTTCATTGACGGATATTATGAGGTAACACCAGCTTTTTGTTTGTAGTTGTCTCCACCATCATGGCCAACATTGAAATACCAAAAAGTCCCGGTTTCCGCTCAGTACCGATCTCAGGTGTTTTTTTAAATTTGACTTTGACAGCTTGTTCCCATGGTTACTGGATTAAACTAGTCCTCGTGTCCCTGTTTGTGTTTTTCTGCTCAGGAGCCGATGGATGTGGTGGAGCTGTTTGGACTGAAGGGAGTCCAACACACGCCCATCAGCATCAAGAATGCCCGGGTGTCCCAGGTGACCATGAATTACCTGTCGTTGTTTGAGGGTCATCAGAGATGATTGAAGTGTCATATTTAATTTACACTGATATATAAATCATTCAAGAGGTTCCATGAACTGTCTGTCTGTCTGTTGCAGCACTACAAGGCCAGTCTGACCGCAACCTTCAACCTCCATCCAGTGAGTGCTCCTCCCTCTTTCAATCTCCTTCTTCTGTCTCCTGTCTCCTACTTTTACTTCTTCTGACATCTCCTTTTTTCTCCTCCTTGTTCCTCCTGTCTTCTCCTGTTTCCTTCAGTCTCCTAATGTCTCCTCCTGGCTCCTCCTGTCTCCTTCTGTCTCCTTTAGTCTCCTTCTGTCTCCTTTCGTCTCCTCCTGTCCCCTTCAGTCTCCTCCTGGCTCCTCCTGTCTCCTTCAGTCTCCTCCTGTCTCCTTCAGTCTCCTCCTGTCCCCTTCAGTCTCCTCCTGGCTCCTCCTGTCTCCTTCAGTCTCCTCCTGTCCCCTTCAGTCTCCTCCTGTCTCCTCCTGTCTCCTCTTGTCTCCTTTTATCTCCTCCTGTCCCCCTCTGTCTCCTTTAGTCTCCTCTTATCTCCTCCTGTCTCCTTCAGTCTCCTCCTGTCTCCTCCTGTCTCCTTCAGTCTCCTCCTGTCTCCTCCTGTCTACTTCAGTTTCCTCCTGTCTCCTCTTATCTCCTCCTGTCTCCTTTAGTCTCCTCCTGTCTCCTCCTGTCTCCTTCAGTTTCCTCCTGTCTCCTCCTGTCTCCTTCAGTCTCCTCCTGTCTCCTCCTGTCTCCTTCTGTCTCCTCCTGTCTCCTCCTGTCTCCTTTAGTCTCCTCCTGTCTCCTTCAGTCTCCCTCTGTCTCCTCCTGTCTCCTTCAGTCTCCCTCTGTCTCCTCCTGTCTCCTTCAGTCTCCCTCTGTCTCCTTCAGTCTCCCTCTGTCTCCTCCTGTCTCCTTCAGTCTCCCTCTGTCTCCTCCTGTCTCCTTCAGTCTCCCTCTGTCTCCTTCAGTCTCTGTCTCCTCCTGTCTCCTTCTGTCTCCTCCTGTCTCCCTCTGTCTCCTTCAGTCTCCCTCAGTCTCCCTCTGTCTCCTCCTGTCTCCTCCTGTCTCCTTCAGTCTCCCTCTGTCTCCTTCAGTCTCCTCCTGTCTCCTTCAGTCTCCCTCTGTCTCCTTCAGTCTCCTCCTGTCTCCTTCAGTCTCCTCCTGTCTCCTCCTGTCTCCTTCAGTCTCCCTCTGTCTCCTTCAGTCTCCTCCTGTCTCCTTCAGTCTCCCTCTGTCTCCTTCAGTCTCCTCCTGTCTCCTTCAGTCTCCCTCTGTCTCCTTCAGTCTCCTCCTGTCTCCTTCCGTCTCCCTCTGTCTCCCTCTGTCTCCTTCAGTCTCTTCCTGTCTCCTTCCGTCTCCCTCTGTCTCCTTCAGTCTCCCTCTGTCTCCTTCAGTCTCCTCCTGTCTCCTCCTATCTCCTCCTGTCTCCCTATGTCTCCTCCTGTCTCCTCCTGTCTCCTCTCTGGTGAATCTGATGTAAATCCATCAGATGTGTTTTGAAAGATTTCAGAAACATTCAGATTTGAAGGAGTCTGTAAAAGTTTATTTTTTTTAAGATAAGAACAACAGATTTTCTTTAACAGTTTATCAGCCGACATGTTGATGAAATCAGTCGGTTGTTAAATGTTTTCTCGTCCTTGAACACTTGAACATGTTTTTTTTTAACCTTCAGGAGGCAAACTTTGCAGTCGTCCTGGAAGAAGACCTGGACATCTCCATCGACTTCTTCAGGTAGGGGTCGTTCACAGAGGATGGATTCTTCTGTCGTTGAGAAGAGCTGAGTCAACATTTAAATCAGGAGGTATTTAGGCTCACTCACACTAGGCCCAGTGACCTCAGACCCCCTCCCCCAGTCCCCCAGTCCCCCTCGCCGGGCTGCACTCAAACTGCTCCAGGCAAAATGTCACCAGGAGGCTTGAGGTCATCATGAATTGTTCTTTTGTTTCTCAGAGTCAGAACAACACAGAGATCATGAAACTTTACTGACTTTGTCCAGATTCAGCTCTCTCACACTCCTGGATTTATTCTTTATGCAAAACGGCCATCGATTATGCATCATGTCCTTTCTTCTCCTTCCATCTCATTTTTTCTGTCTCCTTTCCTTCCAGTCTGTCTCCTTTCCTTTCTTTACAGTCTGTCCTTTCTTCTTTTTCTGTTCCCTTTTGCCTCCTCCTGTCTCCCTACGTCTCCTTTTGTCTACTCTTTCTGTCTCCTTTCTTCTTTTATTGTCTCCTTTCTCCTCCTTCTGTCTTCTGTCTCCTTTCTTCTTTTTCTGTCTCCCTTTCTGTCTCCTTTCTCCTCCTTCTGTCTCCTTTCTTTTCTTTCTGTCTCCTTTCTCCTTTTTCTGTCTCCTCCTGTCTCTTCCTTCTACTTCCATCTCCTTTTCTCATCCCTCTGTCAGATTCTGTCTCCTTTCTTCTTTTTTTCTCTCTCTCTTTTTCTGTCTTCTTTCTTCTCCTTCTGTCTCAATTCTTCTTTCTCCTTTTTTCTGTCTCTTCCTTCTACTTCCATCTCCTTTTTCCGTCCCCTTTTCTCATCAATTTATCGATTCATTATCCTTAATAAGAACATAAACTACTAAAAAATATTGTTCTGTGATCCAAAAGAAAAAGTTTAGTTCTTTTATATGGAGTCGTTTCCCTCCAACTGCCTCTGAGTATCAGCAGAAACCTTCCATCTTTAAATGTATAATCCCCACCACTAGATGGCAGTAGATCCACAGTGATGAAGCACTCAGCTCCGCTCAGTGAGACAGACTCCACTTTGAGATGTGTGTGTGTTTGCTTCCTCTCAAAGCTGCAGCTCTCCTCCTGTGATGAGCGGCTCGCTTGAAACGTCGGCTGTAAAACCGTCTCGGAGCCGCCGCCCCCCCTCCGTCTTCATGTTTCCTCTCTGAGACCGGTGCAAAGGAGTTTCCTCATGTCGACACAAACACGCTCTTCATGAACTCAGCTGTTAGAGAGGCAGTGTTTAAAAATCTTCTTCTAAGCCAAAGCTCCCCTTGGCTCTAAAAAACAAACTCTGACTTTGATTTTATTCTCTTATAAAAGTGTTTCACAGCATCAGACGGACCTCGGGGTCTCTCTTAAGTTTACAGCTGCAGAATACAACCATTGTCTGTTATCAGTTCAGCTCCTTTGTCAACTTCAAATGTTGTTGATTTGTTTTTCCTGCAGTTTTCTGAGTCAGACCGTCCACCTGCTGGATGAGGACGACAGCCTGTACTGTATATCAGCCTGGAACGACCAGGTGAGTGCAGCCTGCTTAAACCCGCCCTTCACCTCTATCTACCTCCATCTGCTTTCCTGTGATCTATTTCATGAGTATCACAGCCTCTACCAGCTGTTTACATGTTCTTCTTTCCCTTATTTTCATCCTCTGCCTGCTCATTTTTAAACAGGTAACTTTGACAGCTAAAAGCGAGACTGGTTATATTTTAAATCAGTCATTTAAAGTTTGAGTCAGTAGACGTGTTCTCCTGGGCTCATCATCACCAGAAGTCACACCCTCACTGCAGCTACCGCACGCTAGCACAAGCTAACCATCGGTGTTTGTTACCAACAGGAAGTAGACTTAGTCTTTGTCTGCGGGTGAAGCCAACACAAGGTTCACCTCTGAGCTTTATCTGCTGACTGTGATTTTCTTGTTTTGAATCGCGTCCAATTTGCTAAATTGCATCCTCTGCTAAACTCACCTGCCTGCTGTGATTGGCTGGAGGAAACACACAAGCTCCGCCCAGAAACGTCCAAAGTCAACCAGAACAAAGCAGAAGAGTAAAATCCAGTCAGAGGACAGACGGGGTCTATGCAGACACAGTCACATGTACGGAGGCCCAGAAGGGACGATGGAGCAGCTTCACCTTTGTATAAGTCTGTATTTTATTTTGAAGGAGAAAGCTGCTGACTCCACCTTTACCTGTGTGAATAAACATCTGGCTCTGTTGGTCTCCAGCTGTTGAGTAACTGTTTGGCTCTGCAGACTGTTTTCTTCACTCTCCGACAACTCATTTATTCTCTATGACCAGTGCATGATTAGACATGTAATTAACACCTGTTGTTGTTGTTGTTGTTGTTGTTGTTGTTGTTAAGGGCTACGAGCACACAGCGGAGGACCCGGCCCTCCTGTACAGGGTGGAGAGCATGCCCGGTCTGGGCTGGGTGCTGAAGAAGAGTCTGTACAAGGACGAGCTGGAGCCAAAATGGCCGACGCCTGAGAAGGTGCAAAATCAATCCTATCTTATTTTACTAAACCAAACCAGAACTTTCTTTCATGCAAACATAAATCAAACCAGATCAACGTCACACTCCATCACTTACCTAAACACATTTTTCCATGTACTGATTTCAGCATGAACAGTTGATGCATCCAGTCCAGATTGTGCTGAAGATAAGCTGAATGTTGTGTTTGTGTTGCAGCTGTGGGACTGGGACATGTGGATGAGGATGCCGGAGCAGAGGAAAGGCAGAGAGTGCATCATCCCCGACGTGTCCCGCTCTTACCACTTCGGCATCATCGGCCTCAACATGAACGGATACTTTCACGTAAGACCCGAGAGAGAAAGAAATGGCTGAAAAAGTTTCAAACTGTGACTCAGAACGTGTGTGTGTGTGTGTGTGTGTGTGTAGGATCTCAGTCGACCAGGTCGTGGTAAGGCTGAAAGGCCTCTTCTTTAGGTCGACGACTCTCATCCAGTCGTCCTAAATCGTGAGCATGATAAAGATCCTCAGAGGTTTAAACTTCGAGTTCGTCCACCAGATAGTTTAGAACTGAAGGGGAGGTGAAACGTCTTCAAGCTCTTCAGTCCAGCTGCCTTTGGATCAAGTTTTCAATGTGACTCAGAGCGACACAAATTAGTTAAAGAATCTCTAATCCTCCTGTTTTACTTTATTTCTTTCTTTTTTTTATATGAAGGGTTAATATGGAGTTTAAAAAAAGCCATGACAGATTTGCTTTTGTGTTCATTTTTCTCTCTATAGCCGTTTTCACACATGCACTCCTGAAAATACCTCGATGATTTCACTCTGTGCACCGTGCAGCAGTCACAGTATAGTAGCATCACAGAAACTCTGCAAGTGTGGAAGCCCTGTTAGTGTGTCTTTAGTGTTTCCTGTTTTATTTTGTAGTTCTTGTCCCCAGTGTTTCCTGTGCTTCTCTGCACAACTGTGTTTTTTTGCTTTCCTCTGCCTCCTATCATTTTTGTGTTTTTATTTGACATGTCTCAAAATGAAGCCTTTTGATCACTTTGCCCCCCCCCATCTTTCTGTCTCATAGGAAGTTTATTTCAAGAAGCACAAGTTCAACACGGTTCCCAACGTACCGCTGAAGAGTGTCGACAGGTTTGTGATTCTAGTCCTCAGACGTTTGTTGTCAAATGAATTAAACTCTGACGTCTTGGTGTTTTTATCTCCACAGCTTGAAGAAAGATGCTTATGAGGCCGAGATCCAAAACCTGCTGAAGTGAGTGAAACTGAACGGACACGAGGAGAGATTAACTCAGACGCCACCGTGTTGACCTGTGTGTGTGTGTGTGTGTGTGTGTGTAGGGAAGCGGAGGTCCTGGATCACACCAGGAACCCGTGTGAGGACTCGTTCCTGCCGGACTCTGAGGGGAAGACGTACGTCATGTTCATCAAGATGGAGACAGAGACGGACACGTCCACGTGGACCGAGCTCGCCAAGGTACGTGGTCGGAGCGGAACAACGGCTCGTTATCGCAAAGGCTCCAAATTGACTTCTGGGGTCAAATATCTACCTTTTGGTGCAGGGCATGCAGACTCTGCTGTGCTCTGATTGGTCAGACACAGCAGGGTGTTTGATGTCATTACTTGAGGAGCGTTTCCACCTTCTTCCTGTTGTGGATATCCTCCAGTCCCATGAAATGAAGGACTCTTAACTTTAACGCCTTCCCTCTTCTGCTCAGTGCCTCCATGTGTGGGATCTGGATGTTCGGGGTAACCATAGAGGCCTGTGGCGGCTCTTCAGGAAAAGGAATCACGTCCTGGTGGTGGCGGTGCCCATCTCTCCTTACTCGTGAGTAACACTCAAAAAGACGTGTTTGTGTGATTGATGTTCAATCTTGTGTCATTGCCATTCAGACTGCTCTTTAGAGAGCTGCTCTATGGCGCCCCCTCTGCTCATGCAGAGCGCTGACACAGGAAGTGCAGCACACGGCGTATATAAGTCTCAGACCGTCCCTGAAGCAGCACTGAGTTGAGTGTGTTCAGACAGTTCAGAGGTGTGTCTCATCTCAGCTGAAAGAAGTTTTTACTTTTAGAGCAGCACCACTCCCATTACTGACCAATCAAAATCAAGAAGGGGCGGGACTTCTGACATCAGCTTTGTGGACAACAATGGAGGAGGTGAAACTGATCCAGAGGTAGAGCTGCTGCTGATGTCGGGACACGACTCCTTTACATCGTTTTCGTGTGTTCTTGGTGATATTTCTTTGAATTAAAGTAAACATCAAACACACAGAGTCACTATGAGGGAAGTAGAAGTTAACTTTTGTAACCTAGCAACAGTGAGCGCTGGTGAGAAGCGCTCTGAAACAGAGCTTGTGGCGCCCTCTGTGGACACGGGCCCTTTATAAAGTAATCCAAATAAAAACAATAAGATCAGAATATATTTATCATCCTGAATCTCTCTGTCTCTGTCTCTCTCTTTCTCTCTGTCTCTCTCTCTCTCTCTCTCTCTCTTTCTCCCTCTCTCTCTCTCTCTGTCTCTCTCTCTTTCTCTCTCTCTCTCTCTCTCTCTCTTCTCTCTTCTTCTCTCTCGTCTCTCTCTCTCTCTGTTTCAAAACTAGAGTGAAGAAACCTGCCGCCGTCACTCCCATTCACTTGGAGCCTCCGCCCAAAGAAGAAGGAGCTGCTGTGGAGCAGCTTTAGATCTGACGTCACACACACACACACAACACACACACACACACACACACACACACACACACACACACACACACACACACACACACACACACACACACACACACACACACACACACACACACACACTTCAGCCAGCCAGGCCTTCACTCTTCTTCTCCTGGGATAATCCCGCCCAGGATTCACAAACACAACTCTGGCTCCTCCCAGCTGTTGAACTTTGTTATACCTGAGGAATTCTGGGAAATGGAGTCCTTTCTTTCCTTTTTCTACTTAAAAAAAAAAAAAAAAAGAGGGAGGGAGAGAGCAAGACGATGAACTGTGCTGCTAATCCGTCCGGGCGCTGAAGGAGGACGATGTGGTCAAACGTGACCGGTTCAGTTTGTGACTGTCAGCGGCTGCTCCGTGACTGAAATGTTTTCTCTGATTTTAAGTTTGATTTTAGTTTGTCGTGTTTTATTTGAACCGCTGAGTGTTTTGATCTGATCTGTACACACGTTTTAACTTGTCTCTATTTATTTCACATCCGTCGGTTAACCATGAGGTCAGAGGTTTGTGTGCTCGCTTAAGAGACGAGCATTTACACAGACGTAATAATGTATATACAGCACAGGCCGATAAATATATATATATATATTTTTGATGACATTTGAAAAGGGTCGACGTACATTTCAGTGTTCTTGAGCTTGAGAGGTGAGATCAGCTCTGTGGGATTTTATCGCTTTGTGTCCGATCAGGTTTCACTCGACGGCGGCCGAGAGCGACGAGAGAAGAAATCTAAAACTTGATGCTTCATTTTGACAGTGTACGATGCAAAAAATATGGCTTCCTGTTTATTTATTTTCTAACAGAATGATATTCCTTTGATCAGAAAAGTACCGATTTAGTTTCTGAAGATTTCAAGTCTTGACTTTATGAATGTTTATAACATTTTTAACACATTTAGTTTATTACATAATTATATTAAATATTTGAGATGCACCGGTTGGGGAAATCATGTGTTTGTTTCATGACTTCTTTTGGTGTCAGACTCCCACAATGCCGACATTTTCTGTCATGTTCGACAATAAAACAAGTCAGAGTTTGTCAACAGGGTCGATATCAGCCGATGCATCCCTAACATTTATGTAATTCACATTTACTTGTCTTGTAGCTCTGAGAGTGACAGAGGGATTTTGCTGATTTAGTTTTAATGATTTAGTCACAAGTTAAAACGTCTGTCAGTTTAGTTTTTACATGTTTTTTCTTTTTATTCATTTGCAAAAGCCGACTGAAAGACGTGTCGTCAGGAGAACGAAAAATAAAGTTTTGCATGGATAAATACTTTTGGTCACTTTTTTATTTTTTTAAAGGAGCAGCATGTAACTCTGACACCTAGGGGTTAAAACAGGTACTGCAGTCTAAATTCTAAACATCATAGAGAGCTGTCCCCCCCCCTCCTCTCTACAGTGGATGCTCACTCAGGTCACCATGTGGTGGACTCTGAAGCTTCAGTGTTTATCCAGCTCTGCATGGGTCTGTAAACCTTTCTGTGTTCTAACCTCTCTCCATTTTTCAAAAGCATCTCCAATATTGATCCTAGTTTGAGCACGTTTCTGCTCGTGGAGCTTATTAGAAACATGCAGAGGCTTTTTAGGTCGGGTACAATCACTTCTATCTGAACCACTTCTCTTGACCGCTTCCATCGCTGCAACACCTGTTGACCTGATAACTGCTCTCATATCTGGCAGACGTAACCAAACTAGCGCTGGTGCTAAGGTGGCTAACTGGACTTTTTACATGCTCACACATACATACAAAGTTACTCTCCCACTCTGTGGACGAGCGGAGACGCCTGAATGGACACCTTTGTAAAAGAAAAGGTCGTTGCAGAGGAATTGCGGGAAAATGTTCCCATCTCAAGGACATCTTCGTTGACTTGGCGTGCCCATGATTTTGAGAACGGATCGGAGGAGAAAAATTCCCGCCCACGTGTGGACTCGGCCTTAACGTCAGCGACCTTGTATGAATCTGAAGACGCCGCCCACTCTGAGACGTTTTTTCCAGCTCTCTCCAGTTTTGTGTTCTTCTCTTTGTCTCCTCAGATGAACAGTTTATAGTGAATGAATTTGATTTACTGCTGTGGGATGATTTGAACAAACCTGATGGTGTGTGTGAGGACGAGGAAACTGTACTGTAAGTTGAATAAAGATGTTTTTTTACTGAGGTGCTTCTCTCTCTTCATTTTAAGGACATGCTGCGCTCTATGTTTGAAGTAACTCCCACAGAAGGATTTATTATCGGAGCGTATTATTCATGGAATAAACTTGCTATTCTCCGCTCGGGTTTCTGTACGAGCGCGTGGCCTCGTGCCGCCTGCAGATTTCCCAGGAGAGCTCCAGGCAAAGCAACGGTGAAAGGAAATGCATGCGGCGAGGGAAATGTATGCAAATCCTCTGGGCTCGCTGGATTCCTGCAGCCGCTGTGGTCCACCAAGGACGAATGTGGCTTCGTGCCCTTTGAGCTCTGACTTTCATACCTGTGATGTGATAAACGGGGAAAGACTTCAGTCCTCCTCGGGCATCGCCAAAGTCCACTTACTGGAACAAAAAGTTTAGGTTCTGAAATCTTTTAAATCTTTCTTATTTTTTTAAACATTTATAAGAAAACAGATCACTCTCCTCTGAAACCAAACATTATGTTGAGGTCAGAACAGAAAAGTCGTTCATGCGCTGGTGGCTCGTTAGTAGAGGGTGCTGCCCACCCAGTCCCTGCAAGAACAATGACAGACCTTCATACAATCAGATTTAAAAAATAAAAAATAAACACAAGCTAATACATACATGTACATTTTTCAAAAGGGCAAAGTAAATGTGTAGTTATTGAGTAAAATGTTCAATCAGCAATAAAAATGTCGATTTAAAATGTTCCAGGCGTCTAAAAGTACTGGGCGCTAAAGTTAGCATCCTAAGTTGCACATGCTCATTTGCTCGTCTTCAGTTCAAGAGAAGGGAGCTTCTCGGGGCGCTCGTACATGCGTCCATGAATACATTACACACCACCACCTGAAGGGGGCAGCAGAGGAACACGTCCCATGAACTGAGACTCTCTCTCTCTCTCTCTCTCTATCTCTCACTCTCTCTCTCTCTCTCTCTCTCTCTCTCTCTCTCTCTCTCTCTCTCTCTCTCTCTCTCTCTCTCTCTCTCTCTAGGCTAATTCTATAGCTAATTGAACAAAGGCTAACTGTCATCGGTTGAGGTTTTGAGATGAAAGCTGTAATTCAGAATCATGAAGCTCCGCCCCCGTCTATTGTCAGGTCTTCTAATGGTCAATATTTACTCAGTCTTATAACACAAAGCATATCATCTCCTGGACAAAGGATGGACACATTAATGGATGGTAACCACAGAAACATTGAGTCCTGCTGTCTTTGTAATGTAAGGCGTGTTCTACAGAAACAAACAGGCTTTGCAGACATGACATCACATCTTGTTTGTTTCTCTTTCTACTCATTCTGTATCGTTTTATGTTGCTTTACTCAGCTGGGCTTTGTGCCCATTAAGCATGGCTTAAAGTATTTCTTGGTCATTTTGCATCCATTTTTTGCTTTTCGGATCACATTGTGGTCTTCGGTGTTTTTTTCTGGCATCATATGTTGGAATGTTCTGTCCTCCCTTTCATCCCTTTGGATTAGTTTCGTATCTTCTTGTTGTCATTAAAGTCTTAATCTGTGATTTTTCACACTTAAATGTAGAAATCAAGTATATCCTCTGAAAATAACTCTGTGAGTCATGACTGTCTACAATGGGTGTAACACCCGAGTCCCACTGTCTGTGATGTTTTCAGAGTTTTCAGAGTCCTATCTTCAGTTTGTTTACATCGCCAGGACGGCCGGCTGACTCCTCCCCTCGTGTATAAAAGTTGTTTAATTGAGGGACTAGAGAAAAGAAGAATAACATACTGTACTCACTGCTTAACTGTGTTTCTAGATCACGCTCATTTCAGGTAAATTTACATGCAGTG